CAACTCCTGGGCTCAAGAGAGTCTCCTGCCTCAGCCTCCCAAGTAGCTGGGACCACAGGCACCTGCCATAACACCCGGCTATTTTTTGGTTGCTGCCGTCATTGTTGTTTGGCGGGCCTGGGCTGGATTCAAACCCACCACCTTAGGTGTATGTGGCTGGCGCCTTAGCCACTTGAGCCACAGGCGCTGAGCTTTGTCATCTTTTTTCTTTCTTTCTTTTTTTTGGGGAGGGACGGTTTTACTCTTATTTCTCTGGGATGATGTCATTGTAGCTTACAGCAGCCTCAAACTGCTTGAGCAATCCAGGTTGCTATAACTACAGGGATGCACCACAACATAGCTAGTTTTTCTATTTTTGGTAGAGACAGGTCTCACTCTAGCTCAGGCTGGTCTCAAACTCCTGAGCTCAAGCAATCCACCAGACTCTGCCTTCCAGACTGCTAGGATTACAGTGTGAGCCACTGTGCTCAACACCACCTCATCTTCTTAATTGTCTCCTTTTTTTGTTACTTCCTAAGAAAGTATAGATGGAAGATGAATGTCTGAAAATATCTACATTGTAACCTTACACTTAATTTTTAGTTTGAGTGGATTTAGAATTCTATTTTGGTAATTGTTTGTTCCTTTTAATTATAAAGGCATTGCTGCCAGTGTCTTAAAAAATTACCTATTAAGAAATCTTATGCTGGCTCGGTGCCTATGGCTCAAGCAGCAAGCCAAATACACCTGAGCTGGTGGGTTCGAATCCAGCCCGGGCCTGCCAAACAACAATGACGGCTGCAACCAAAAAATAGCCGGGCATTGTGGAGAGCGCCTGTGGTCCCAGCTACTTGGGAGGCTGAGGCAGGAGACTCTCTTGAGCCCAGGAGTTTGAGGTTGCTGTGAGCTATGATGCTACGGCACTCTACCCAGGGTGACAGCTTGAGGCTTTGTCTCAAAAAAAAGAAATCTTATGCTGGGCTCAGTGCCTGTAGCACAGTGGTTACAGAGCCAGCCACATACACTGAGGCTGGTGGGTTCGAACACAGCCCCAGCCAGCTAAACAACAGTGATGACTGCAACAAAAAGAAAATAGGCATTGTGGCAGGCACCTGTGTAGGCAGCTACTTGGGAGGCTGAGGCAAGAGAATCAC